ATAGTTAGGATAGATATACAGCTACTTTCTCTTAATTCAATGAGAAGAAAGAGGTGTACTAATAGTGTTTGGGCAGGTTATCCTGTCTGCTTCTTGTATTATGGATAAGACTAAGAACATAACAGTGTACAATGTATTGATTATCGAAACTCTCCTATTAATCAAAAGAGAGAGAGAGAGAGAGAAAAAAAAATGCCACATCAGCTTTCAAAAACAGCTTTATAGGGTAGTACTTCTAAGTGTGAAAACTGAGGGTCCTGTGAGAGAGAACAAGGGAAAACTGTTCAAGTAGAGTAGGATCAGAATGCATAGAGAGACTTTTGTTCTGTGGAAATGAGAGGGTGTTGCCTCAAATACAGTCTCTTTGATTCATCTTCATTGAGGGAATACCAGGAATCAAATGCAGGACTTCATGCTTGCCAGGCCTGTGCTGGTGTCTTGATTTTTTATGGAAGGGATTTAATTTTATTTCTCCATATGTAGTTTCATTTGCTATAAAGAAATCTAATAAAGACATGTAAATGTTTTTAGCTTAAGACAGAAGTGGATTTCTGCACTTCTGAAACTGCCTTTAAGAACACCTTAGTTCTTATTTCCTGTTTTTAAAAATAGATGTGCAAGTCTAATCTTCAGTATAGAATGGCTTAATTCGTTGCACTAACTTCCTTAGCTCAAAATTTGTCAAGGTATTTTCTGTGTGACAACTATAAAGAGAAGTTCCTTGCTTCTTTTGTTTTAGCTATTAAAATTGATAGGTAATATTCAGCTATCCTTTTCTGAAGCTGTATCCTGTTTCTTTTTACCCTCATACTATATTCTGTCTTTTGGCTGTGCTGTCAGCCTGTTCTTAAAGCACACTTTTATACTCATGAAGCACATGTTTTATTATATGTGTGATTAAGAATATAGATGTGGAGCCAGGCTTGTTATCTATCTTTGAATTTTGGTTCTGCCATCTGCTAATTGAGCATTCTCAGACAAAGTACCCATCTCTGTAGAAGAAAGACTTAACTTACATCTTTACCGCTGTAATTTTTACTTTGCACATTTTCACTCATTAGTGTCACAGACTGGGACCAGTGGTGGGATGTTTAAGTCACGGACCTAGTAACTGGAGCTGCGGCCCC